TTCTAACATTTTGAACGTACTTAAGTGAAAGTAGAACCATCATTGAGCAAACAAACTGAGTCGCCATCTTTTTGATGGTGGCTCAACACACTCTCTCTTTCAAACTATCAATCAAGCATAAGTAGTTGCCACTTAATTTTCTGCCACCATTCCTCATATTCAACGTATTCCTAAGCTACGCTATCTTTCTTTTAACCACAGATGTACCATAATCAGCAAACATACTAGTTTGAGACTATTTCATTTCATGTCTATTTTCTACCATATGTTTGGCCACTTCTGACCGTCGAATACAGCTTCCTTTGCAAGCATTTCTGTGTTATCCCAATCTTTGTCGAATAGGTCGGCATGTCTCACCTATATAACATTGACCACATGAGTAAACAATCTTGTAGCAGCAGGATCTCAATATGGGTCATATTTCTATCTGAAAGGTGGCATAGCAGAAGAAAATATGAGGGTTTCTTTGAACACTGTTTTAATGCCCCACTTCTTTACTAATTCGCCTACCTTTTTGAGAGAAGGCATTACGGAAAAATTAGGACATGGGAAAAGGTCTCAGTCTGTCTATCTTTTACCAAATGGTCTTCGTCTGAAAATGTATGCCTTTGTAGAGAGATATTATTCTTACTCAGGTCTAAGGGACAATTATTCTCCAGGAAATATGTTGAATATGAGAAACGGTGAAAGAAAATTGAGTAGGAATTACTTATGCTTGATGATAGATTAAAAGAGAGTGTGTAGAGCCGCTATCAAAAATAAGGCGACTCAGTTTGTATGCTTATTGATGGTTCTAATTTCATTTACATTCGTCCAAAATCTTAGAGTAAGCTTATCAACCAAACCATGCATATCAGATTACGCAACTTTAGTCTTACCTTTCCTTGGAGGGTTAAACGTTAATGACCCTAGACTGAAAAGCTAGGACAAATGGTTTCGTAACTTGATTTCATGCTTACAAGCTTATATCTCATTGTTTACGGACCTATGAAGTCTCAGTCAAGACTTTCTCTTGGGTCATTAGGACTTGAGGATCAGAACCTGAGATTAAAACTTTTGACAGCTCTGATTCAGGAACCGTATTGCATATAGGCGCTAACACGCATAAACACACATACTTATACAATCGAGAAAAAATAGCAGGACCAGTATGAAAGAAAATTAACCAAACCACGCTATATCGATCTATCTATGTTTTTAATTTTCTTTTGGCTCAATTAAGTCTATATAAGAAATAGGATAGAGCCGGATAGTGTTCTTACCTAGTGTTAACGTGATACGCTTACAAGAATGAAATCCAGCTCTGATGATTTCTATCATATGATGGACGAAAGCTGAGCACGTTTTTACCCGAAACTAGTAAGGAAGTCTTGTGGATTGCGTCAACATGAATATCGTATAAAAGCCAAACGGCTGCAATACAACGAGATTCATCCATTCTCATCTGGCGAGATCTGCCAACGAATCTCTTCATCATTCACCTTGATACGAACTGAAAGTTCACTAACGATATTATCTCAGGAGAATCATCGAAACGCAGTTTATCTTCGTATATTCAAAACACATGTAGTTTATTTGAATAAGCGAGGGTAAAATACTGAATATAGATAGGATAGAGCCATTTGTGGTGACAACGAAGACTGAGAAGATAGCAATGAAAGTTTAATGAAACAGAGCATTATTCTTCATAAATTAAAATTGTGATTAACGCTTACTTTTGTGCCTATTTTTTTCAAAATAAATAATTAGCTCATTCTTATTTGTAAATACTATTTTCTAGTGATACATAGAGACGCTATCACTATCCACTTCGAGACTTGTCATATAGTTCCTTATCATACTCATACAACAATATTATACATCTGCTTATTTCTATTCCAATATCGGTCCTAAATCAGAGTGATCACTAAAGTCTGGTCAGGATCTGCTCATCAAGGCTTAATGGCCCTAGTATAATCACTAACCAAGACTAAATGAGTGTGTAAGCGACTGTGGTTTAGATAATCAGATGTAAACTTATAAGTGAGGTCATTAAATCATCTGCACTAATATCTTAGTCTATGGTCAATAAGGTTTAAGTGCCCAAGGGGAATGACGGGAGGTGAATAATTTCATAGTTAGATAAGGAAATTGTAATGTGTTTATTGTATTGCAATAATCCATAGATATTCAGACCAAGATAGTGTGGCCTTTTATTGGCACGCAGTTTTCTTTAGCCGTATAGTGTTGGTTTGACCTCATTTTCGTAACTTAATCGTAGCGAAAAAGAAATCTTCTGGAACGTACCTAGTCTTGCGACCTCTGCCATAGTATTCATGATTTCCTGCATCGGACCATTAAATTGGTATATAACCAAGTGTTTCGCACTATCATTAGCACAGAGTTAAATTATATCAATGTGACAAGGAAAGACTATCCCCTTAGCTAATTTTCGTTCAACCATAGTTGCGTCACTCTCCCCTTTTTTGTCCTATAAGGTAGTGCTGCATCCCCTTCACTCAACCCCATATGACGTGCTCAGTTCCAATTATGTGCTAATGGCGGTTTTTATTCACGATATCGACTAGTATTCCGGCGAACCGTCTGGTAAAATATCAAGTCAACGGTCCGATGCTGAAGATTATGATGAATACTATGGCAGAAGAGACAGAACTATTTATGTTTTACATGCTCTCCTGGTGGCTCAGAGAAATTTGAAAAACGAGGTCAAACTAACAATATTACATAAATCGAAGGAATGAAGACCAAGATGGTGTGGCTTTTTCTATAGTTGCAGTTTCCTTACGTATAAAAGTTGTTTGAGCAACTTGGTCATATTGGTAGAAAGGCTTAGAGGAACGCACCTAGTCCGGAGTCCATTGTATGCATGATAATTTCTCAAAGTCTGAGTGGACGTGGTACATCCCCACACGTTTCACCGACATCGACATTGAACATTGCCATCTTAGCAGCACACTACAACTCATCAAGGAGACAACTGAAACCGATCCTTTGACTGATCGTCTGACAAATAATCGCGGCACCTCTCCTTCCGCCCTTGGCTAATCACCAATCCTATAACCCCGTATCACCCCTTCACTATCACAATTTTTACTTGCTCATTTAACTGTGGGATGGCGTGCCTTTTCGAATGGATTTCATGAGGACTCTCGACAACCCACGATGGCCTTCTCACCGTTTCCCTGGTAATCTTGATCAGAGCCTGCCATATTCTCACACAGTCCTCCTTCCATAGGCCCTATCAGAGTCTCCCTCTTGTCCCGTAGGATCCATTTACTATCTCCCTGGTTCAAGAATTTTTCCTTCGCCCCTTGCTACCAAATTTTTGCTACTCGAGGCGCTAGTTCCTACACTCTGTCCTTGGGGAACTAGCTTGAGGCTAAAGCCCCCGAGTAATTCTCATGGTCAAACCTTTGCTTCATGGACAACATCTATGATTAAACAGGTCCATTGTCGACCAACTAGCTCTAGTATCTACAGCGTCTATCATGTTTGTATCAGTAATACCAAGTCTGTGACTTCCTATGCCCTAGTCTCTTGTGTGTCAA